TGGAACTTTGGTGCAAATCGAACGACAAGCGTGTCTTGCCCGTACTCTTGAAACGCTTTCGGTAGACATATGTTGTCTTTCAGAGACCAGATTACAAGACTCTAGCACCGTCATCAGAATAGCCTTTCCGGCAAACCCTGACGCCAAATACCACTTGCGGCTTTCCGGAGACCCAGAAGCTTCCGCCTCTGGCCAAGCTGGTGTTGTGGTTTCACTGAGTGCCAGGGCTGAATCAGCTCTGCTTGACTGGATCCCAGTCAACAGTCGGCTATGTGCAGTCAGACTAGGAGGTTCATGTAATGCAAGCAGGCGTCCAGACGTTAATCGTGCCTTTTTTGTCGTCTCCGCCTACGCCCCTACAGACTGCAGCCCGGATGCAGTTAAAGATAGCTTGTACCAGAAGCTACATGAGTTTCTGCGTTCCTCCAAAAGGACTGATATGGTCATTCTTGCCGGAGACTTTAACTCACGGGTTGGCCGCCTTCCACCAAGCGAGCACCACATTGGGCGTAGTTTTGGTCTCGGTGACAGTCGATCAAACAATGGAGACAGACTGCGTGCTCTTTGCTCAGATCATCGCTTGTATCTTGCGAACACTAGTTTTCGACACTCGAGGAGACACAGTGCTACCTGGCGCCCGCCCTCACAACGCAAGAGTGCTCCCAACTTGACCACATAGCAATCAGCTACAGATGGCGGGGAAGCGTAACGGACTGCCGATCGTGCTAGTCAAATTATCTGGACTCCGATAACGCATTGGTTTATGCTAAGATTTGCATGCGTTTCGGAGGATCACCTAAGCGCGCCCACTACCGACTGGACGTCGCAACTCTACAAAACCCTGTGATTTTAACCAGGTACCAAGCTTCACTGTCAATCTTGCTTGGATCAACTATTGGCGGTGATCTCTATTCGCAGTGGGCGCAGATCAAAGATGCTTTACTTCCGCCAGTATAGACACTTGTGGAGTTACCCATCACCCACCGAAGCATTGGATTTCCGCCGACTCCTTGTCGCTGATGGACAAACGCTGCTTGACCCCATCAGATTCCAGACACAGTGAAGAACGTCAATCCCTTGGTCGTGGGTTGCACAGGAGTCTGCTAATGCATCGTTAAGCTTGGTGGTATGAACGTGCTACGGCGTTGGAGCTTGCTAGTCGCTCTGGTATTACCAGAACACTTTTCCATCTTATTCGAGTCACTGAAGGTGTTCGATCTGATATAAGTGGGATAATTTGCGAAGAGGATGGCACCTTAATCACCAATCTTCAACGACGGTTGGAGCGATGGGCCGAACATTTTCGCTCGCAGTTTTGTTGGCCCCCAGCTCCATCTGCTACCTCTGGCGCTCGTGCTGGGGCCGAGTGGTCTACCCCAAAAGACCCTCCCTCTTACCAGGAAATCGAGCAAGAGCTCCGGCACATGAAGCGTTATAAAGCCCCCCGCCCTGATGAGCTTCCTCTAGCTCTATTAAAAGATGGTGGCGCTTCGCCGGTTCGAGAATTCACCGCTTTGTTCTCGAAAGTTTGGTCGAAGCAAAAGTTCCCTCATCCTGTGGTGAATCGATAGCCGTCCTCATCTTCAAAATGGTCTGCGCACAATCTGCTCCAACTACAGAGGAATAAGTTTAGTCCCCATCGTTTGTTAACGGCTGGTGTCCATCATACTTCGCAGGCTATCCCCAACACGCGAATCGTTGCAGGGAAAAGAACAAGCTGGGTTTCGCCCTGGTCGCGGCTGCATCGATCAAATTTTCACACTTCGCCAGATCCTCGAGCTCCGCCATGTGTATCAGAGGCCAACGATTGCTGTGTTCCTGGATATCCGTGCAGCCTTCGATTCTGTCGATCGTACAGTACTGTGGCAGTGCCTTCTGAGGAACGGTGTCCCCGAGAAGTTCGTCTCCATACTACGCGCTCTATACAGTCTGACCTCGAGCAGGGTTAGGGCTTATGGCATGCTTTCGCCTACCTTTGTGGTCTCCAGTGGAGTTCGACAAGGATGCCCTGTCTCTCCGTTCCTATTCAACTTTGCCATTGAGGATGCCCTGAACAGCGCTCTGCGCGATTCGTTGAACTCTGGCGTTGTGCTCCTCCCAAGTAGTCGAGTTGTTGATTTGGATTATGCTGATGATATCGTCTTGCTGGGTGACGATCCACACGTCGTCCAACTTGCAATAAATCGCTTGGCGATTGAAGCAGCAAAGTATGGTATGTATTTTTCGCCATCCAAATGCAATGCTCTCTTCCAAGACTGGCAGTTACCTCTGTCTGCACTCACTTTTGGTGGTGAGGCACTAGAGGTTGTGAATAGCTGTCTATTTGGGAAGTTGCATCACTGCTGGCGGGGCTGTTGGAGACGAGATATCGATGCGCATCTCGACAGCACGCCTCGCTTTTTTAGGCTGAGGCACTTGTGGCATCGCCACGACATTCGTCTCTCCATCAAAGGGCGGGTCTATTGTGCAACTGTTCGTGCTGTACTGTTGTACGGATGCGAGAACTGGCCCATTCGTAAAGATGACTTGCGCAGGCTATCCGTCTTCGAGCACCGCTGTCTGCGGTCCATTGCCGGTGTGTCGTGGCAGCACCAAGTAAGCTATGTGAACTTAGACAGCGGGACTTGGGAGGTGGAAGCCACTAGCGCGAGGAGCTCGTCTTACTGCATCAACTGCGGTGGTTGTGACACGTATTGCGCATGCTTGTCCAGCGTTACCCACGTCGTGCGTTGTTTGCGGTTGCTGAACTGGGCTGGAAGAGACGGTCTGGTAGACAGCCTACAACATGGAGAAGCCGCATGAGTAAGCCGACGAAAAACTTGGCCTCGGCCGGTTGTTGTCGACTACCTGGTTGGGGTCCGAGATGTGCGGATACTTGCGGGTTGAGGACCTTGGAAGCTATGGCTCAAGATCGATGTCAACGGCGGACGTGTGCATCGGTATGTTGCGGTGTCCCTTCTTCCTCCCACTAAAAAACAAACTGAAAGACCCTTTCAAAAACTGTGAGTGGTAAAGTAGACAAAAAAATCTCGTTCTTTTCTTATTATTCTACTGTTTTCCTATTCAGCGATGATTCCGATGGCACAATATCTCTACCACAGATTGTGTTAAATATATATATATATATATATATATATATATATATATTGCCAACGTAAGGCCGAAGACCAACTTATGCAAACAAACTGAATTTATGGCTAGCCTCTCCTTACGATGTACTCCAAATACCTGAATTCAGTGTACCTTGTGCAAAATTTTTTTGCTTACTATTTTGAATCAGAGAACTAGGAACGAGGTACTGGTTGCATTGGTAGCCAGTGTGTTATCCGGTCGGGCGAAGCTCCAGCTACAAGTTAGTTTACATGGTTTGGTGGTATTGCACCCTGGGGAATTTCATCCATTACATAGCATCGGGGGATGTGGGGATTGTACGTGACACATCCATCGCGCACATGCAAATTGTGTTTTCTGCTGCGGCTGGCCCCGCCGTTTCCATCGAATCATTGCAGCCACTCTGCCTTTATTCGAGTTACGCCTCCACATCCTGTTAGCGACAGAAAGCACGAGGGTTTTTCAGGGCTGCAACTATTGCATTTAACAAGTCTTTGGGACAAAGGTTTAAGTGGTGACTGCATGAAACGATTTGCACAATTAGTTGATAAAGCTTACACTCATCGATAAATCAGAAAGAGAAGTAGAGTATGGGGTTGATTGTTTTAACGCATATGAACAAGAGTGGGGGAGAGAAAGTGGTCTAAGTAGATATGCAGGCAAAATTTCCTCTTTACAAATTGGGGAAAAGAAATTACATTTCAACGGAATGGCATGAATATAATTACTTCGCTTATTCTCTTCAGCTGTTTGCAAGCAGCATGTGGGATGACAATAACAAGAATCGTCAACGCGCAATTAGTGAAGCCATGATGGTCAAAGGTTATTTAACCAGCCTGCTTTCCAAGTAAGCATAGACGATCACTGTGTTCGTTAAGGTTAGGCGTTGAATGTTGGATTATACGGACTTGTTTTCGGAAAATGAATTGAGTCCTATCACTAATGAACCCAGTTAGGTAATACCAACTTGTCTGGACGGGGGCAAGGCGACTAGTGTACTCTTTCGGAAATCTTTGTACAAGAAGTTTTTTGTCAGTAGACAAAAATCAGGTGTTTTCCGTTCACACCACTGCATTGTGGCGAGCAGATAACACCCAATTTTCTTGAGCTTCAAATGCCTTCCTGATTAACAAAAGCAAACGAATTTAATTCATAGTGCATGGACGTCCAGATTGAGACTGTGCCGCGTAATGGATATGATAAGTGACAAATCTGGAGCGCACTCTTGCAGTTTCACTGAGGTGGATATACTAGATGAGTCTTGCTTCGTGAACATATCATTTTACAGAGCCGTTGGACTTGATGGACTTTTGTGCAGAACCCCCATAAAAAGTTCCTTTTACTTAAAGCGATGCTGTGTCCAGCACTAAAGAGCCAGTGAACCAAGTAAGGAAACAGTGTGATTCAGAAACAACTGAAAAAGGACGGTTTTATTTGCGTTGTCCTCGGTGTATGACGTGGTAAAGAGTGAATCTGAAACAAGGGTAGGACGCAAAGCCGGAAGAGGATAGCGAACTCGATAACACGGGTGATTTGGGGATACGAAAGATAGCCTGTGAGTCTACCGTAAGGGTGGTTTAGGGATGGGGAGCTGAACAGAGAGAGAGAGAGAAGTGCCTGCGAAAGAAACATGCTGGAGTGTTAAGGTGAACAGCACTAGTACTAAAAAGAAGACTTCCTCCGTTTTCATGGATAGTCTTCTCCAGATCCAAAAAGAGACAGTCAGGGTTGCTTTTGCGAACGTTTCAACACTTTGCTCTATTCAACCATAGGACGAAAAGGTCACAGCGAACATTTTTGATTTGGGATGCATGGAGACAAGGCTAATTCAATCGAAAGTTCACTTGGACTTGTTCTTGCGATGAATGATAAAACAATTAGTGTTATTGTTATTCTGCGGCAACTGGTTCTGATTCTTGGTGTCCATCGGTGGCACCGGCAATTTGGAAGCCCTCTTCGGTCATGAGTACATGACGTTTGGGAGTAATGCGGTGGAATTCCTCGGCATAATTTTCTCCGGTAAAAACTACACGTCGCTCGGTGAATGACCGTGGGTCCTTGACTCGTTCATACTGGCTGTACATGACCACCATGGGCTGCAATAAAGACAATGGCATTTAGGGTGAATAAATTGGGCTCCCATATGAAACCGTGCAGTTCTAGTGACAATATGTTCAAATACATGTTAGATTTTTCATATCAGTTCGGTTTTGGCCACCTCACTAACTTATTCTATCTAGAATGTTACATCTTTTCAAAGGCGGCTAATTAGTTTTGAAGATCAATGAACTAGTACTATATTACCAATAAAGAAGGGGTTCCTTGCTTTCTGCACTGATGATTGAGTTGTAGACTGTCATAAGAAACAAAAAGTGTATTCGAGGACATCACCAAATTTCTACCCTGCGGATGCTGCAGTATTGTACCTGCCTACACTGATTCAGGGCACCTGTGTGATCCTCAACATCCGAGTTGCGTGGGTCTCCAGAGACATTTCGTAGTGCCACGCGTTGTGTAACAAAGTAAATGGAACTGCGCTCAGCATTTAAGCGCTTTTTGAAGACCGTAACGTGGGGGCAGAAGGTTTGAGGGCTGAGAGGCAAGTAGGGATGGGTAACTGCAGTGGCACTCTAGACGGTCGTAGGTTTCACCAACTCTCAAGTAGTTTTATGAAAGAGATTCAATAGTCAATCCAGTGTCTGGAACTGTTCTGAGGAGCACCCGTCCTCCAGAAAGATCGCACAAGTTGTGATCTAGACGCCGTACCTTTGTGAATGTACAATTCAGACACATCTACGTTCATGACTGACAACTTCACACTTCACTTGCCTCGACACGCCCACGCATTGCGTGTTTATTCTCTTACGACGTATACGCCCACTATAACTGGGAGCTTATTCTCCGCCTTTTCCTTGTATTCGCCTCCGCAATTTATGTTGCCAGTCTCGGTATAAAAATAAAACTGTGCAAACATCTAGTCGCCTTTCCACTGGGTCGTAAAACTGCTATACTGAAGACCAGTATTTTCTTCTCCCGGGTTGGTTGTGCGAGTGGCAAGTGGTACCCAGCGCGAGTATCGACCAATGCCTTCCGTCTCATTCAGGGTACAAGTTTACTCGGGGTCCGTATCGCTCGAGCCGACTAGGACAGTCGTAGCGACCAGACTGTTATATTCGGAACACCATAAGGCGGTCAATATTCAGCCATCGGCATCGTCCACCAAACTCTCCGAGCACATTCAACCTTTACTGATGTGAGCTGCCGCGTAGCTCTCTGATATTTTAAAATCCCCTGGTAGGATCTAGAGATCAGCAATGCCACACCACTACCGAGACGGATAAGCATGTACGACATAGACGCGTGAGAAGTTGTAAGTGTCTTCCGCCAGAGACCTACATGCAGATGCTGTTTCGCACCGTTTCGACTAACCAAGGTAACTCTGTGCGAGCGCACTTGAATTCCAAGTGACTTTGCTTGGATCTATGTATGACAGCTTCTGAACTACTTAACAAGTCTACATTGCGTCAACAAATTTTTAGCCTTCCTAAAGCTGGCGTTGTTATATCGGTTGATTGTATGCAAGATTTATTACTGGAAGAATAGAAAATATGGAGCCATGAGTCGTCGTTTGTGAGAACAAAGTATAGGCGTAGTCCTGGCACAGAGGATTGTGGTACACCGCATTCGACTTGGATTGGGTTGGACAAGAACCACCGGACTCTCAGTCAACTCCAAGCACTTTTACTAGCGATGGTTATTGCCAAATTCAGGACTTGGAAGTCAGAGCCACAGTTATAAAGATTTTAGAGCAGGATGCGATGATTCGAGTGCTTCAAAGCCCTCAAAAACCCAGGTGAATGATGTTGGCTCCCAACTCGTCATCAGCTGCTTCGATTCAGCTTTCTCTTGTGCTTAGCAGTTCGATCGTACAAGGTAAGTTTTAACAAAAGCCATGCCGCTCCGTCGCAATGACATCACTGGTTTACAAGGTGCCCACGACGGTCGTTTCTGTGATCACAGAAGGCTCAGGAAGCCACGTTACCGGATGACAATTTTCAGGCCCAGTACGACAACCCGCCGTATGAGTAGAAGCGACGCTCCCTCGTTTCCCTCACAAAATCACTTTACTATCCTATCAAAGTGACGTTTGCCTGCTCTGAGGAAAGCACAACTTATTTGGATAACCCCTTCGTACACAGGCAAGAACTTTGATCCGAGAAATTATTGTTTGTGTTGACAGTGCTGTATATAGTGAACGGAAGATTTTGATCATTGATTGCCAACCATACAAATGAGGGTATGTGTATTTTTGTGCAAAACTGGAGAAATGAACTTCGTGTGTACATACCTACACATCGTGTACCACATGGATAAGACAATAGATCCTTGGTATGGAGATGAAGTTATTGCGAAAGGCAATGAGACAATTCCGCGTGTCAGGACGCAGCCGTGACGCTTTCCTTCCGAGTAACTTACGTGTAACAGTCTTTTGTAGGAAACGATTCATGCATTCACGGATGACTGCAACCTGACCTCCATCGGTTTGCCCGTATGCAAGACAATTACTGGCGTCAAATTGTCACCACAAGTGCTAAGGAGTTAGATGAGCTTCTACCATAACATAGTGAAATCTTTCATTTTTCCCATGAACTGCTGTCATGTAGTATACATAATCATCAAAGCAAGACAAGGAGGGTACCACTGAAGATTCCATAGTATATTAACATGTCACATTCGATTTCCAAGCCTCCATATGCAGGGGTCGGTGAGGTTAAATTTGCTTTAAACGTGCAGATATGTGGACCAAATTTCCCCAGGTGACGGGGTTATCATCCACACTTTTTGTTATCGAGCTTTATCAATTGGCTGCCCTTCACCTCGAAACACACCGGGAAAAGCCAAAGGGCGTTTTTGAGGAACCGTCGGAACATTGTGTCTTGTCATTGCTAAGTCACTTCCTTTGTCCTCCGTTGGTTTGTAATATACTGCAGCCAGACTACAGCAACTGGTAGTTCTTTTAACATATTGAGACTTGGTTGTCAGGATCATTGTGACTGAGGTGTGTCGTGTCCAAATACTTTGCCTTGTTTTTGCCCTCGATTCGCTCAACCTACCCACAGTTCTACTTAGCACTCGCTGGCCGATCATGTTCCCTTGCACTTGATTGGTTGCAATGCGAACCTCTATCGATTTAATTGTACTGCGCGTGCGTGCGACAGTTTCCTCCACACATACGTTCCGGTGCTAAGCTGGTCTGCTGCTTTTTCGGGACACAACAAGGTGGAACGCCGTACGTTCGTCGCCAAAAGCCCCAACATCGGCTGTTCAACTTTCCAGGCTCTTCTAGGTGACTAGCTTCTCGTGATACAGTGACTGCTGACGTATGAGTTTGGGTCCTAGGTTCACCTTTCTCCATGCTACTCAAACTACGGTAGCGTAGTTAAGGGAATTTTTAACCAAAACGTATTTTTTGCTGATCTAAAGTCGAAGTTGTCATGGTTGCTGACACCAAGCGCGGCCCACCGTGAAGGCTGAAAGGGCAGCATGAAATATCGTTTTGAGCCATATTTTCCTACTGTTTGCATGACTGCCGGTTAGTTCATGAAGCGGAACCTGGGAATCGTGTGACGCAGTCCGTAGATGCCAAGTTCTATAGACGATCTGCTTGCAGGGGTTCAGTTTGATCCAGGTTTCAGCGCCGCTCTTGCATTCTCTCATCTGCTAGGATAAAGTGATACGTGGGCTCGTGTTAGACTTGTTCGCAGGGCTCCTGTCTGCGCTAGGGCTTGACAGGATTTTAGAAAATGGCAGTTAACACCTTTCATCTTCATTTATTACTACGGAGGTTATTGGATTTGTCAGTCCTGCCGTGACTTCTTAATTTTGTTCGTTCTTGTTATCGATTCGTTCACACCACCCACTGCGAGTACTTAACATTCATTTGTCTAACCATTTACTCTTGCATCTGAGTGGTTGCATCTGTGACGTCTACCTATTTCATTCTAAGGCGTGCATATGCAGACAGCTCTTCTGCCTTTTCGTGATACAATAGGCCCAAAGACAGGCAAGTGTACAAATTCGGTTGTTGAGCTGACAGCCCCGCCATACTAGCAAAGTTTCCAAACTCGCACTGCTGGCATACAATCAACCTTCGCCGAACGCAGCTGAAGGTGCACCAGCACTCTTGTTCGTCCCGGGGTATAACAACTTGCTCGAAAGCAACCGGAATAAGCTAAGAGTGGTTCTTCTTGCTGATTCTACTATTCGCATGCTATTGCAGATGATGGACATTAGCCTCCTACTAAGCTCCAGTTAGCTACGGAACAGCCCTAATGGGAAACCACCTTTTTAGTCAAGTGCACTAAACGTGAAGAGATTGGACTCCACAGGCACCGTTAGGCATAGCCACCACCGCTTTAGGTGGGACGGAGTTGATACCCCGGCGTACCCACTCCGGTATGAGATAAGCACCGTTTCGGGGAACTAGAGCCACCACACAATAGCCTGCTTTTTAGTCGGGAATCCTCGCATGATATGAGAACCGATCAATGAGTCACAATTTGTGGTAAAGAATAGCCGGCGACACTGTAACGATTTTAGGTGAACGTCCATGTCACCAGCTAATCAAAGTTTGAGAGCTTAAAAAAGTATTTGTTTATCTTTTCCAAAGGTTGAATAGATGAAAAACGTATCCAAGGGTCATGTACCATCAGTTTTTGGTCTTCGAACAATTTAGCATCAGGCTGCTTAGCTTTGACTGAAGAAACTAATGACCGTGAGATTACGTGGCCATTTAAGCGAAAATACACCACTTACAGGGATACCACTGAATTTGGCTGCCCTCGGATCCAGTTCGTTCGGGATTGCTCTGGCTTTGCCTCTACAAGACAGTGGGAAAGAATACCAGTTGAGTTTTGTATTTAGAATCTTTACGCATGGTTCATAAGCCTTGTATTATGGCATTGCCAAAAATACGTCACACTTATAACGGTTAGAAAGACAAGCAGATGGTCTCGCTTTTGTGCCCACATTCTGCATTCTGGAGAAAAATGTACTTGGTAGGATCTGTCAAGCCAAAGTTAAGCATGCGACCGTCGGAAGCCGATTACAGGACAGAGGTAGAGTCAAAAGCTGAACACATTTATTTAGAATACTTGAGGTTACTCGACGTAGGCAGGTACGTGGACAGACAGAATATAACCATACTTGTGTGGCTTAGCCTAAGTCTAGCCTGTCGTCCGCATTTGAACGCCATAAGCTGTGAAGTAGCGCGAAAAGATATTTTAACTTCCAGATTACACCCATGCTTTGACAGAGCTCGTCAGTTAGTTGAATCAGTCATGAGTCACCATCCTGTCCAACATGATTGAGTTAAATCCAGAGGTAATGTATAAAATCAAGCAATTTTCATCAGTGTAACTGCTTTCAGTAGTTTATACAGTTCAAGATCGAAAGGAACAGCAATTCATCGCAGTGTCCGAGGGATCCAACTAGATTTCTCTGAGGGTTAGAGGGTAATGGTGAATTCACTCCCTTAGAGTGGGAGGTCCAACAAGTCAATACTTTCATTATGTGGTGACACTTTTGGACGTCGGCATGCTGGTTGGATCCTCTTATGCCTCCGGATCGATGCTCGACTTAGATGAACATTAAAAATGTACCAAGAATGTGCACGGATTGTTAGAGCTAGTGATGCTACTAACTCTCGCAACAGGGTACGCTTTCCGACTTCTGTTCATTCAGAAGTGCGTGGGGTTTTAACGGGTGATTAAAGAGTTACTTGTGCAGATTGAAAGTTGTGCCTCAGGGACTCACTGTGAATGGGACTGAAACCGACCCAACCGGGGCAGTACACGAACTGGTTATCCGTAAGAATGAGCTTAAATGCAAAACCAACTGTGACACGCGTGCTCAACTTATGTAGGTCCGGTGAGCAGAAATAACACGGTGGAATGAACAACATGAACACGATTGGTTGGAGAGTGCCGGTTGGACAGCTTCCTTATGTTCGGTCAATCTACCAACTCCAGCGGATTGCACGGGGGTCGCGCACCTTCTACGCACAATCCAACCAACGGGAAGAAAAAATATACGTTTACAGAACCCTTCTTGTCAAAACACTATGACAGATACGCTGTATCAGAAGGCCAGTCGGCAGTCGTCTGCTTCTAAGTGAACTGATCCACGAACAGTGTAGATGTTCGCCGCTAAGTCCTATTGAAATATGTGCTTACCCCTTATTCATTTGTCTTGCGCGTTCAGCCAGTTCTTGCATCTAAAAAAATAAGAAAGTGCGACTCGTAAGCTAATTCACTTGCCCATCGATAATGGTCATTAACTGACAGGAAGATTCGTTTCTTTGGCAACTTACGTCGTAGCTCTGGCGCTTGAACCGCTGGCCCAAATCATAATTTTCACCCTCAATACGAAACAGTAAGTCGTGCAGTTCTTTGGCTTTTGCTTTCAGTTGTTCCACGGTCATGCCACTGATGTTTAGAGGGGGCACACGCTGTTCGATAATTGCCTTGCGCTCAGCCTCCAACTGCTCCTTCGATTTCGTAACCTCTTCCTTCTTTTGTTCTTCTGGTTGGGGTTGTAACTGTGACAAGTGGTATTACAATGAACAGTGAATTATCACGGGATAAAAGCAAGTGCTTGACAAGTTCTGTAGGATAGTTGGGGTGAATACGATGAAATCAAACTATGTCTGGGTCATCTACCGAACGTCTACCTCGATGAATACTTTTATAAATTACATCAGTGTAAAATTAAAAAGTCGAGCGTAAACGTTCCGAAAGACACTAGGGTACAGTGATCGTTGATGCAAGGCGTGAGAGAAGTAAAAGCTGGTCGCTCACTTGGGTCCATTTGATACATAACTCCTGTTGAAAAGCATGCTTGGCGTAATCCACAATAGATGAGTTTAGGTAACAAAATGCTGGGAGCTAAGATCAACATCTAATGGTTTTTAAAAACATCCAAGGTAGGGGAGAATACAACTGAGTCTGGGAGTGCGTTCCAAGGTCGGCAAACCCGATGGGCAAAGTAATTACGTCGACACTCTAGACGGCTATATTGCTCCTTCAAATTTAAGCAGTTACCCCTGAGCTGCGTGTTGTGGTTAAGTTTCAGCAAGTAAAGGCATAAGTGGTTGAGGTCAATCAATATCTTATACGCTAATGTGAGATCGCCGCGCAGCGTTTGATAGCGTCCGCTGAAAATTCCCATCAAGTTCTGCCTTCGGTGATAAGAGTGATAGCGCAGGCTCTTTACCTTCTTTGTTGCTCTTCGTCGTGGTGCCTTTAACTCCTCTACTTCGCGCTTCAATCAAGGTTGCCAAGCTTGGATAACTTATTCAACGCCTTGGCACATGTAGGAATTGCGTATCATTGGGAAGATTGATGGGTCAAATCTCCCGAATGCACTTCGCAGCATGCCAACATGTTATTTGCCTCTTTTCGCAGTTACCTCAGCCTGTTTTGAACAGTTAAGGTCGCTCTGTACAAGCACACCAAGGGCACTTTCCTGGGAGCTGCTCTGCAATCCGTTTATCCCAAGCAAATATGTATAGTTATGTCTATGGCGTAATTGCACATTGCGACATTTGTCTACGTTGAAGGCGTTTTGAACTGACCAGTTCGACACGGTGTAAGATCGCCGTGGAGCCGTTCGTGGTCGTTCGATCCCCTGATCCATCGCCATACCTTGATATCATCAGCGAAAAATAGGAAATCGGAAGCAACTGATCTTACCAAATCGTTAATGAACACCAAGAATAGACGAGGTCCAAGCACCGAGCCTTGTGGTACACCTCACGCCACATCGATTGCATCGGACAATGATTCTCGGACTCTCAGTACTAGCCGCCGTTCGTGTAGAAGAGGGCTAATCCAACACAGGATTGGGTCGCTAATGCCCTAGTTCCGAAGCCTCTGAAGAGCAATTCGACGGTCTAAGCGATCAAACACTTTTGAGAAGTCTAGGTAGATGACATCGACTCCTGCTCCATCATCCACAGCTTCAGTCCAGCTATTTCGTGCAGTTAATAGGCTCGTATTACATGAACGTTTTTGATGAAAGCCAGCTTGTTCTGGGGCTATTAAGTTGTGTCTTTTCAGATACTGCATCAGCGCAGCTGCGATGATTGATTCCACTACTTTGGATAGTACAGGAACTAATGTTATTGGACGGTAGTTGGCAGGGCCAGTGCGGCTACCTCCTTTATGGATAGGAGTGATGATCCCTCGCTTCCATACTGGTGGAATATGGTTCTCTTCTAGAAATCGTTGATAGAAAACAGCCAGTTGTTCTGCTAGATCCCTAGCTACCGCCTGCAGAGCCTTTGGTCGGACGTTGTCGACTGCAAGAGAACTGTGGATACGTAAGGATAACAACTTCTTCAACACAGCTTCCGCAGTGAAGGTGATGTCTAAACCCGACGGTGGAGTAATAGAAACGAGGAGAATATTTGGGCTCGTTACCTGCTGGAAAGTTTAGGAGTAATGAAGCCGTAGGAGATCGGCTGCTTCCATTGCTGATCGCGTGCATCCATCAGCCGTGACTAGTGCTGGAATCCCCCGCTTCACCTTCCGAAGGCCGTTAACGTGCCTGTACAGATGTTTGCGGTTCGTGCAGAATCGCTTCATTAACTGTTGCTGATGCGTGACCTTGTATTCGCGAATCAGTTTCACACAGAAGTTACGATGTGTCACATCTGCAGTCCAGGTTTCGGCATTCGAGCAGTCCTTGTGAGTTCGCCATGATAAATCCCTCCGGGACACATTTACGTGTCTCGCTCCTCAGAAATGATTTATGCTTGTTTTGGGTTGAAAGGACTTCTCTTCTGATGCGTGCGCTACCAGGGTGCTAAACGTCCTTGTAAATGTTTCCCAGGCAACATCTGGGGGGCATTCGGTTAAGAAAGTCCAAGATGTATACTTAACACGCGTAGATAACACATTATAGTGCGCGACAATATGCACTTTATCATCCTCTTTTTCAGGATGATCCGCATGGCATGCATAGTCAAAAAGTAGAGTAACATGGTAACTACGACCCAGTGGTGTGCTTGTAACTATCTAGTCAATCATGAGTTCTTCGTTAGTGAGCACAAGATCCAGCATCGATGACTTGTTAGCAGTTCGAAATCTGGTGGCAGAGGTTATGTGGTTGTACATAGGTTGGCTAACAATTAGCTCTTGTAAGCAGGCTTTAAACTGCCTACCGTGTGGTGTACGGGAAAACACGCTCTTTCATTATTTTGCAACATTGCATTTACACGGTTGTTAACCTTCAAAACCTCCACTTGTTTTACTTCCGGTACATCCGTTTTCACAAAGCGATTTGGTGAGTACCTTGCTGCACCGTTTCTGGCTCTGGTTGCTTCGCTTCCTCTTTTTGTAGCCTGCACAATCTACGTTGGGTTCAGTCGCCTCCAATTTCTATACTGTCCCGTATTTGATACGTCTCTTACGTGCCATTGCTTACCGACTAGTATCCCAGGCTCCGCCCAACAATTGGTGACCCCCTGTCAGGAACACGACGCTCGCCATTTTGCATTTTCATTCTGATGAGATCGTTTCAGTGATTCTGTGATTCATTACTTGTGCTCATATTATTTTCCCACCTATCACATTTTTTATCTGCTTTTTGCAATAAATTATCTAGAGGATAAGCCGTCTCCATGCGCGGTTAACGCCCTTCAGCCTGTCATGGGCAATTCTGTTGCCTTAGCCCCTACCCTTTTTGGGAGAATGATTCTTTACTATGGTTTTTGCACCTAGAATCCGTATTTTATATTCGTATGATTTCTTCTGATTTCGCCATGTATAATCAGCCAATATCTTGCCTTCCTCAGAGTGTATCCTCGCAGGCTAGAGACATCATACTTTGCCCCCCTCTTGTAATGAATTCCCAGACTCCTAAACAGGCTAGTATTCAGCGAATCACGCCTTCTGACAAGGTCCGTCTGCAGCAACTATTTAGTGATCTGCAACTAGGAGATAAGATGCCCTCAGCCTTGTTGCGCGAAATGCAACAGCTCATCGGCACGTCCAACATGGACGTAGGGATTCTCCGCGAGCTGTGGATGCAACGCTTTCCTGAAAGCACTCAGGCTATCCTTGCAGTAGCAAGTGACTTGCCAATCACAGCAATTGCAGATCTGGCAGACCGCGTCATCGAACGGCACCAGCCAGAGACTGAAACCAAAGCACCTAAGCAGCTTTGTGCTGGCGCAACCACACCGACACCCGCGACTATCCAGCCGTCGGCAATAGACGCATTATCATCGCAGATAGCGTCGCTTCAGCGCCAGATCGAGGAACTCACTTTAAACCGTAAGCACCGCAACCGCTCTGGATCATCGCCCCGTCGCACAAAACCTGATGCCTCAGGTTACTGCTTTTACCACTCGCGTTTCGATAATAAAGCCCGTAAGTTCGTACAGCCGTGTAGCTACTGCGCTATAGATGATCAGCCACGCCAGCCTGTAATGGCCACGAAGGTCGGCAAAGCCCAAAGTCGTCTCATCTACATTAGGGATTATGATTCCGAGACCCAGTTCTTAGTTGATACCGGGGCGGAAGTCAGCGTCATTCCCCTTATGCCAGGTGAGCCTCTCGCTTCTTTGTCGACAAGCCTCAGTGCCGCCAATGGCACGCCAATAGCCACCTATGGTCATCGGTCGCTTACCCTGGACCTAGGTCTTCGGCGCACGTTCCGCTGGGTATTCACTGTCGCTGCAGTCCCCTTTGCCATCATCGGCATTGACTTTCTCAGGCATTTCGACCTCTTGGTCGATGCGAAACGCCAGATGATAGTCGACACTGCAACGAAACTCAGTGTACGTGGCATCACCGCCGATGTCGCATCTATATCCCCAGTCTATGCATTTCCCCAGACCTCGCCAGACTACGCTAACCTCTTTTCTCAGTATTCCATGCTCGTTCAGCCAATGAACGCAGCTTTGCCCGTGGCAGCTCAAGTCACGCACCACATACGGACGAATGGCCCACCTGTGTCATGCCGTCCACGCCGACTATCGCCCGAGAAACTAAAGGTAGCTAGGGCGGAGTTTGAGCACATGCTTGAACTTGGAATAATCCGCCCTTCCGACAGCCCTTGGTCCTCGCCCCTGCAGATGGTCCCCAAGAAATCTGGTGACTGGCGCCCTTGCGGTGATTACCGCGCACTCAATCGGCTAACCGTCCCAGATAAGTATCCCATCCCACACATGCAGGACCTTACCGCATGCCTCACAGGTAAGACGATCTTTAGTAAAATCGATCTGGTTCGCGCCTATCACCAGATACCTGTAAGAGAAAACAGCCGTTATCACTCCTTTCGGCTTGTTCGAATTTTTACGAATGCCATTTGGACTGTGCAACGCCGCACAAACCTTCCAACGCTTCATCCACGATGTCACTCGTGGCCTGGACTTCGCTTATTCCTACCTCGATGATATTTTAGTAGCCAGTTCATCGGAACAAGAGCACCTCGAGCATCTTCGAACTCTCTTCCAGCGCTTAACCCAACACGGTGTCACAGTCAACCCGACTAAGTGCGAACTCGGCAAATCAACGGTAGAATTCCTAGGCC